GGCCGCGGCGCCGATGGCGAGCCTTATAGGGCGTTGACAACTTCCAAGACCTCGCTCGCCGCGGCCGCCCTGGAGAACAGAAATATCAAGCCCGGGCAGGCCGCCGCCGACTGCAACCCGCGCGTCGTCGCAGGCACCCGCGTCAGAGACGGCCTCGGGGCTGAACAGAAAATCGCTGAGGCGTAGAAGACAAGGCGTCGGGCTTAGTGGGCCAGCCTTGGCCGAGACGGCTGCGGAGCGGCGACGAAGGCGGCGCGCGCATTTATATTCGAGCCCCGCTGCCCCAAACAGGCGATCGGCCAGACGCAGAACCACGGGCCGACCAGGGCGAAGCGCGCACCTATCTTCGCTGTGCCCAGGAGGGGGCGCGAGCTCACGCAGTCTCAGCACCAGACGACCTCCAGGACACCGCGACCACGGCGGAAGGCAATCTGAAATGTTCAAGGGACGTCGATGGGGTGCGATCAGAGAATGGGTGTCGGAGGCACCACCCCCGCCCCCACGTCGCTCAACGAATTAGGCATCTCCGAGAAGCCCCCTGAGCCACGCCCCTCAGGCGGGCGGGGGGGCGCGTCCAAAGCTACCTCGCCAGGGCTTGAAAGAAGCTCTTTTTACGGTCCCCTTGGACGGCGGAGACGAGAGAAGGCGGGGCGGCCAGTCCGCAGGATTTCGCTCCGATGGGTATCCAACGAACGGTGAAACGGACATTCCTGGCGAGACACAACGCGGCGAGCTTCCTGAGAACCACCAGGAGCTGATGGTTCCTGGCGCGGTACCTGTCACAACAGAGGACAAGGGCAATAGTATCGCAATACAGAAGCTGCCTCAGGTTACGTCCAAGACGGGTGAGGAGGATGCGTTCGGCCCCCCACTAAGAGAGCTCGGGCCTCGAGCAACAGGATGTTTTCCTCAGAGCTAAAAGGCCAGCCTCCGCGCGCATGCCACGACGCCTCGCCCAAATCGAGGGGCGAGATTTCTTCGAACTCGCCCTGCGCCTCAAGGCCATGGGCTTCCCAGGGCCTCGAGGCTCGCCAGTTGCAGGGCGTCGCCGTCCCCCGACAGGGCGGCGTCGCAGGCGCGCGCGTGCTCGGGGCGCCTGAAGAGCTCGCGCTCGCGGACGCGCCCGTGCCGAGAGGCGCGCGCGGGCCCGAGCGCGCGCGAGCAGATGCCGAAGCCCCCCTCGCAGGCGTCGGTGGCGCACGCGACGCCGTTCCACGGGAGCTCCCACGAGCCCGCCAACGTTTTCATGAGGCCCAGGAAACACTCGAGCTCGCTCCGCACGCTGGACCAGAGCTCGGCGTAGTAGTTGCCCTGGATGAAGCTGTGGACGGCGCTGAAGCAGCTCGGGATCTCCCTGCGGACGAGCCCCGCAAAGGTGCAGTGCCCGAGCACGATCCCCACTGACTGCCTGCTCGCCCGTCGCCGCCGCAGCAGCCCACGGAGCCCTTGGCGCAGCCGCCAGAATCGCTTGCTGCTGAGACGGGCGTGGCGCCGAGTCGCGTCGAGCACGACCCTGGGCGCCTCGACCTCGCCCTCCGAGATCTCCAACTCGTGCGTCTTGAGCCCCCGCGCCTCGACGCTGCTCACCAGCCGCTCCATGGACTCCTCCACCGCCTGCCTTCCGCTGCCGAAGACCCCGACGTTGCCCGTGCACGCGTAGTGGCGAACCCCAACTCCGCCGCGAAGACATCGGAGTAGGAGGGGGCGCCCGTGGTCCACCAGGAACTCGCGCCTGTCGATGGCGGAGGCCGCCGCCCCCTCGTCCACATCCTGCGCGAAGAACAACGACCGGGCGAACCCCGTCGGGAGCGCCGTGGCCCAGGCACGATCTCGCGACCCGCCTCGACGAGCTCCCCTCCGAGCGACTTGGCCCCCAGCTCGCCCGCGGTGAAGAACTCGCGATGGTGGTCAAGCATCTTCAAGCGGTGGAAGGCATCGGCGACGTCCACGGTGCCGACCGCCAGATCAGTCTCACCGCCGGAAGCGTCCTCCACCTCGATGTTACCGCGGCCTTCAGCCGTGAGGAGGCTCACGTGCGGCGGGGCTCGAAAATGGGCATTCGCCCTGCGCGCGCCCAGGGTCATCCTGAGCGCCCCCGACTTTTCTTCGCGAAGAAGAGCCCCACGCGTTCGCGGCAGCTCCGAGAGAACTTCACGAGACCTCTTACCTTCAGGCCCTGCAAAAGCCGAACACATTTCCTCCGATTCCGAACCGGCGCGGGATCGACGTAGCAAGGGGTGTCATGCAATTCAGCCTCAGTTAATTCAACATCAGCAGCCAGGCGCATTCGCCCCCCCCCCCCCCCAGGAAATACCGACCTCGGGCGCCCATGAGCTCCTCGATCGACTGGCAATCAGACGCGCCCGAAGGAAGTGGCGCCACATCGTGCCCGAAGGGGGCCAGAGCTGTTGAGGAGGGAGGGACCAGCGACGGTGCACCCGCCGCCCGTCCCGCGGAACTCCGACAGAGCCGCCTCCGAAGTGAGATGTTGGGCATGTCCGCCACTGGGCTGTTGGAAAAAAGCCAGCCCTTCCAGATAGCTTCTCGTCGCGTCCGCCATCTCCGACGCCAGGCCGATGGGCGCGATATGCTCGCCCTTCGAGTCGCGATGGCGGTGCCTGCTCATCCAATTAAGTGCATCAAAAGCTTCTGCCACTAGCGAGGGAACCACCTCGCGCTGACGATCCTTCCGCTGCTGCTTCTTCGACCGCCCGACCCGACAGGATGGGTCAGCATGCAAGGCGGGGGGCGGAAAGAGTCGCCGCCGCCCGTGGGCCGCCTGGCGCGACCCGCCCCCGACGCTCAGAGGGCCGCGGCTCGGGGACATCGCGCTGCGGCCCCTCTCCATCAGTGTGGCTCGTCCGCGGGCGCCGCGCGCCGATCGCGCGCAGCCCCGCGTCCTTCTCCTCCCCCAGGCAGCTCCTCGCCATCCACCAGCCGCGAAACGTGGATCACGCGGCGGCCGGAGCGCGGCGGGGCGAGGGGGAACCCGTTAAACGCGAGCCTGAAGTCCACGTCCTCGTCGCCGTCGGCACCGACCTCTGGATCCTCGGGCGCCGCTGCCTGGGCGATCGGAACGCCTGCTGCAACAGGCCCCGCCCAGAGAGCGCTGTTGCGGCCCAAGACGGCCGCCCGCGCCTCGGCCTGCTCGGGGACCTCCGCCGCCAAATCCTCCTCGGTCTCCTCGCTGTCACCCTGGCTGTCGATGCGCGGCGACGCCTCTTCCAGCTCCTCGTCCTCGTCGCCCTCCCCCATCGGAGCTCGACGACGCGGGGTTCGGGGTCTCGCGCTGGTATCACTCCATCCCGCGGGCCCACCCCAAGGGCGAGGTCTCCTGCGACGCGCCGCAGCCCGCGCCCGCGGACGGCGGAGCCTCCTGCGCCCCCCCGCCGCCTAATGCCGCGAGGCCGCCGAAGGCGGCGCGCGCGGCCGCCCGCTCGCCCGCGGTCGGGGGAGACCCCGCAGGCGCCGTGAACAAGGCGCTGGCACCAGACCTCGCCCGAAGGACGAGCTGGGCGCGAAGCTCCTCGATCTCCCCGTCGGACAGGTCGAGGTCGTCGTCGCCGACGTGCCCCCCCCTCGCGCCCCTGTGCCACCACCTCGCGCACCTCCACGGGCGTCGCAGGGGCAGCCTCGGAGCCCATCCCGGCGCCCCTCGCCGCGCCCCCGTAGAAGCGCCCGCGCATGGAGCACCGATCGCGGCGCTCGTCCTCCCACAGGTTGCATAAACTGCAATAGGGAGGCACGGTCAGGTGCGACGGTCGCTGGGCAGCCACCCAGAGAGCCGCGGCCCCTGCGAGCCGCGCGCGCTTCGAGGCAGCAGGCCGAAGAGAAGAACTCGGATGACAGAGAAAAACGAAGCTTGAGCGAAAACGTTCAAGGACATATTACATGGGCCCGACAACCGAAAATCTCAACGCGTCATTCTCGCGCCGCGCACACCCAACACCGAGACCAACGCAAGGTCCGAGCAGAAACGGCAACGCAGTAGAAACAGCCACGCAGACAACCAACAGGAACAACGACACGACGCACCGACAGCACCCCGACAGCGGCAAACATACGGCGAAACAAGCATACAGGAGCAACGGCACAGCAGGAACAACGACGCAGCCATCCAACGGAAACAACGATGCGTCGCCACAGCAGCGCGCCGACGGCGGCAAACAGAGAAACAAGAACAGCAACGACCGCGACGCCGACAATCGACCAATCAGAAACAATACGAAACACAAGAGTAAGACTGGGAACAGCCGACATAACAGCGACATAACGCAGCAACAGCACACCAACGGCGGCAAACAGAAAACAACTGAGTCCCCTGCAATGATAATGGGCATCCGAAAAATTTGATGCCCTCATCCACGCATCGCAAGCGATGCCACCACGACAGAAACAACAAGGGCAACATCTGACTGCAACAGCGACGTAATGCAGCAACATCACACCAACGGCGGCAAACAGAAAACAGCTGACTCCCCTGCACGGATAAAGGACATCCGGGAAATGGATGCCCTCATCCATCCATCGACAACGACGCCGCCGCCCTCGCAGCCCAGTTTGGCTATGTGCACGCCGGCTTCAAGGCGCGCCCGCAGTTTATTTTCGCTCAGTGCGCACTTGCTGGACCGACCGTCTAAGCCACCACCCTGCTCCAGTCGGCGATGGGGGAGAGCGCGAACAAGCGCCCCGCCGCCGCCCCCGCGCCGAAGAAGCGGCTGGCGGGAGCGTTCAGTCCGCTTCCTGAGCGCAAGAGGGGCAAAGACAGGATGGGCCAACACCAGAAGACTCAGCAGAAGGAGATCGAGCATGTCCGCCATGGCCAGAAGACGGAGAAATCGCGCAAGGAGCGCGAGGCGTGGCCCCGCACCTACGACAGCTCCCACTGGAAAACTACGGACCAGATGGTAGACATACTCATCGAGGACGGCGTTGCGCTTGACTAGGAAGGCCGCGCCTGCCCGCGCTGCGCCGTCGGGACCTTGGGCGCTCGGGTGGAGGATGACACTCGCGGCCCGCATTGGCGGTGCAACAACGGCAGGCTGTGCGGCAAGACCGTCCACCCGTGCACTGCCCACCCCGTCTTCAAATCTGGCGGCGGCTGCCGGTCGTCAAATCTGTCGACGAAGGCAAAGGTCCTCTTCTGCCTCACGCTCGGCCTGGCCACCGCCCAGATACACTTGCTGACGGGGGTGAACCACAGGACGGTCGAGGACATGAGCAGGGCCACGGCAGCCGTGCGGAAGATCTACGTCGAGAAAAAAGAGAAGGACATTGTCTTCGGCGACAGCGGCCAGCGGCGCTGGTTCGACGCGGAGGCGGGCGAGGCGGTCTCCCGCGCCCAGGTCTCCGATGACGGCCTTTCCAAGACGTGGGGGCAATGGGCGAGCGTCGTTGAGCGCGGGCGCCCTGGGGGCCTCGTGCCATGGAAGATCCAGACTGACGGCGCCGAAACCAACGCGCCAGGCCCAGGCGCCATCAAGAAGAGCGACTGGGCGCTGTCCCTGAAGGGCCGCCTGGAGCACAGGAAGGTGATCCTGCACTCTGATGGAACCCGCAGCTACAAGATGCGCGCGACGGGCGTCGCGCGCGACAGCGTGGTGCACTGCGTGAAGCGGAAGAAGATCGGCGGGAAGTGGGTGTGGCTGAAGCCCATCTACACGAAGGTTGTCACCCACAAGTTGCCTGACGGCTCCACGATCAAGGTGAAAGGGGGGGGCCCAAATCATAGACCGCGCATGGAGGTTCATCAAGAATCTCATCGGCACGCGCGCAGACCTCCCAGGCAGCAGGCAGCTCGCGGCTTCTGTTCGCTCGGCACAGTTCGAGCATTGGAACATGGGCCAGGACTTGTGGGCGGCGACCGCGGGTGCCATCTGGGAGGTCATGGACTCGGCGTACCGAGGCGGTTTCGGCATGTTCTGCGCGGAGATGAGCGGCGTGTTCGGGGTGGGGGTGGGGTGGGGGGGGGGTTCTTGCTTGCACTGAGGCCGGTGCTTTAAAATTTTGCAAATCGTTTTGCTTTGCGGTATATTGGGCCAGCATGGCAAGTGTGCCCAAGCGAAACGCGCGCATATACGCATATTGCTTTCGACTTGCTTAACGACGTCAAGACTCGCAAACAAAAAAAAGCAATCATCCCGGCAAAGCAACCTAACAGCGATGTGTAGGAGCATATCTGGAAGCACTCCCCTTAAGATTCAGATGAGAATCCAGCTGTAGAATTCTGCTGTTCTCGCAGTCGTAGTCGCATTCGCGATGACACTCGCAGTGGCAACGGCAATCGCAGGCACAGCCTCAGCCTCCGCCTGTCTGAGCCCCAGCCTCAGCCAGCCTCAGCCTCAGCCTGCCTCAGCCTCAGCCTCAGCCTGCTTCAGCCTCAGCATCAGTCTGCCTTCAGCCTCGGCCTCAGCCTCAGCCTGCCTCAGCCTCAGCCTGCATCAGCCTCAGCCTCAGCCTCAGCCTGCCTCAGCATCAGCCTGCCTCAGCCTCAGCCTGCCTCAGCCTCAGCCTCAGCCTGCTTCAGCCTCAGCCTCAGTCTGCCTTCAGCCTCGGCCTCAGCCTCAGCCTCAGCCTCAGCCTCAGCCTCAGCCTCAGCCTCAGCCTGCCTCAGCCTGCCTCAGCCTCAGCCTCAGCCTCAGCCTCAGCCTCAGCCTCAGCCTCAGCCTCAGCCTCAGCCTCAGCCTCAGCCTCAGCCTCAGCCTCAGCCTCAGCCTCAGCCTCAGCCTCCTGCCTCAGCCTCAGCCTCAGCCTCAGCCTCAGCCTCAGCCTCAGCCTCAGCCTCAGCCTCAGCCTCAGCCTCAGCCTGCTTCAGCCTCAGCTCAGTCTGCCTTCAGCCTCGGCCTCAGCCTCAGCCTCAGCCTGCATCAGCCTCAGCCTCAGCCTCAGCCTGCCTCAGCATCAGCCTGCCTCAGCCTCAGCCTCAGCCTGCCTCAGCCTCAGCCTCAGCCTCAGCCTGCCTCAGCCTCAGCCTCAGCCTCAGCCTCAGCCTGCTTCAGCCTCAGCCTCAGTCTGCCTTCAGCCTCGGCCTCAGCCTCAGCCTGCCTCAGCCTCAGCCTGCCTCAGCCTCAGCCTCAGCCTCAGCCTGCCTCAGCATCAGCCTGCCTCAGCCTCAGCCTCAGCCTGCCTCAGCCTCAGCCTCAGCCTGCTTCAGCCTCAGCCTCAGTCTGCCTTCAGCCTGCCTCAGCCTCAGCCTGCAGCCTCAGCCTCAGCCTCAGCCTCAGCCTGCCTCAGCTCAGCCAGCCTCAGCCTCAGCCTCAGCCTGCTTCAGCCTCAGCCTCAGTCTGCCTTCAGCCTCGGCCTCAGCCTCAGCCTGCCTCAGCCTCAGCCTGCCTCAGCCTCAGCCTCAGCCAGCCTCAGCATTCAAAATGTACCCCAGGAATGGAGTTCTGGGAACTCGAAGAACACGAAGTGGCCTACAGTTGGCTCCAGGCATTCAAAATCATGCCCAGGAATGGACTTCTGGGAGCTCGAAGAACACGAAGTGCGTTACTGTTGGCTCCGGGCATTCAAAATCATGCCCAGGAATGGAGCTCTGAGAACTCGAAGACCACGAAGTGCGTTACTGTTGGCTGACAAAAGAACCCCTGGAATCCTCCCCCGGATCGCGCCCAGGCCCCCCTGGGGCGTCAAGATGCTTTCTTTTGACCCTACTAGAAACCTATCAGTCTTCGCCGTTCGGTAAATAGTCAAAAAATACTCCTAAATACAAGCCTGCCTCAGCATCAGCCTGCCTCAGCGTGTGCAGCCTTAGTCTGCCTTCAGCCTCGGCTTCAGCCTCAGCCTGCCTCAGCCTCAGTCTGCCTTTTAGCCTCAGCCTCAGCCTGCCTCAGCATCAGCCTGCCTCAGCGTCTGCCTCAGCGTCTGCCTCAGCCTCAGCCTCAGCCTCAACCTCAGCCTGCCTCAGCCTCAGCCTGCGGCAGCCTCGGGCCACCCCGGCCACCCATACGAACCAGAGGTAGCAGTTCTGGGCCCTCCCCCGGCCTACTTTGACACACACACACACACACGCACGCACGCACGCACGCACACATACACACACACACACGCACACAGAGACACAGAGACACAGAGACACAGAGACACAGAGACACAGAGACACAGAGACACAGAGACACAGAGACACGCACGCGCACACGCACGCGCACACGCACACGCAGACGCACACACACATGTAATTGTGTATATGTATAAACATATAAACGTTTGATTACACATATAATTATGTGTACATGTATATAGATATATGCGTATATGTATGTATGTATGCATGCATGCATGCATGCATGTATGTATGTATGTATGTATGTATGTATGTATGTATGTATGTATGTATGTAGGCATGTATACATGTATGTATGTATGAATGTATGTATGCATGTATGTATGCATGCATGTATGTATGTGTGTATGTATGTATGCATGTATGTATGTATGTATATATGTATGTATGTATGCATGCATGTATGTATGTATGAATGTATGCATGTATGTATGTATGCATGTATGTACGTACGTACGTATGTATGTATGTATGTATGCAGGCATGTAGGCATGTATGCATGTATGCATGTATGTATGTATGAATGTATGTATGTATGTATGTGTGTATGTATGTATGTATGTATGTATGTATGTATGTATGTATGTATGTATGTATGTATGTATGTATGTATGTATGTACGCATGTGTGTCTATATATATATATATATATATATATGTGTATATATATATATGTGTGTGTGTGCGTGTGTGTGTGTGTGTGTGTGAGGCGTTCCGAACATGGCCCTGCCTTCGAGGATCGAAGACGTTTCCATAGTTTCCGCGGCGGAAGGTCGGCGGAGGTAAAACGAGGCCGCCTCCGCTGGCGGTTTGGGTCCAGGGTTCCTGGTATCGGCCACGTGTGTATTCTGATGTGGACGGGGGGTGGCACCCCCTTGTCAAAACGGGGTTTTCTCCGAGCACTCCCTTTGGCATTCTGGCACTGTCGCGCTCTTCAGGGCCTCTCCTCTTCCGAGCGGGGCTCTCGCCTGAATGGCAGGCCCGTGGGGCGCTGCTGTCTTTGACAGTGTGAGCTTCCTGCGACACTTACCACGGAAGGCTCGCAGGAAATTGCGAGGACGGAGCTTTGGTCGGGAGGGTGTGTTGTAGCAGATTCGTCGCATCCCGGATTTACTCCGGTCCTCCCCTCCTCCTCCTCCTCCTCCTCCTCCTCCTCCTCCTCCTCCTTTTCCTCCTCCTCCTCCTCCTCCTCCTCCTCCTCTTCCTCCTCCTCCTCCTCCTCGTCCCCCTCCTCCTGCCCGCCCCCTCCTCCCTTCATTCACATTCTCTCCCTTTTCCCCCTCCCTCCCCCGGCGCACCAGCGATGAAGCCGAGGAAATTCTGTTTCCCAGCGTAAGTCGGCAACGCCTGCGGACAACGCCGAGCCGCGGGCTCCATCTTCGGCGGAGGACGACTGGGAATGAGAGGAGCCGTCTCTTCCCGCAGCGGCCTCCTCCTGCTGCTGCTCTTCCTGGCGCCTCTGCTTTCCCGCTGCAGCGCCCGCCCGCCGCGCGACGGGGTAGAGGAGCTGTTGCCCCCCCCCCGCCTCCACCTCCTCCTCCTCCTCCTCCTCCTCCTCCTCCTCCTCCTCCTCCTCCTCCTCCTCCGCGTCCTAGCGCTTCGCCTAGCTATCGCCGTATTAGGCAAACGTGTCTTGGCATTGGTATGTCGCTATGCTTCTGAATCTTCTTCTCCTAGTAGCCCGCGAAACGCTAATCTCCCACTGCAAACTGGTGTGTACACGGTGAAGTAAGTCCGTTAAGCGGAACTACTTCAAGCAATGCGTAACACACCGGTATGCACGCGCACGGCAGGCCCGCCCGGCCGGCCGGCGCGCGCGCTTTTGCTTAAGTGGCAATATACAGCTGTGGAAACAGTCCCTCCGCATGATCCATGCTCTACCAACGCTCTGCAAGGAACAAAAATCGGGGGCTGTATATATGGGCGAAATGAATGTTAGTAACGACTCCCCCCGCGGCCACCTAGCGCGACATCGTCGCGCTGGTGTGGACGTCGGCGCATTGGCTAACATCCCAAGCAGAAGAGGCGGGACATACCGAACAGCCTTCAGCAAGTCCCGAGAGCGTCGGACAACCCCCACCCCTTCCCCCAGGGCCACTTTGGCCCCCCGCCGCGCGAACCCCAAAAAACATGTTTCGGCGCGGGCGGCAGGGAAGGGAATGCTCCTGTCACCGCTCAACGAGGGCCCCCCGACACACCCCGCCGCAAAATAATATTCGAGGCGCGCGCCGCCCAGTCATCAACCCATCAGGCTACCAGCCCGTCAATGACCTCGGCGCGCCGCGCTCTGCGGGGGCTGGGTCAAGCTCAGACATCGCCCTGGCCTTTCGCCCATGCCCGCCACCTGAGCGGTCGCTGTTCCACCGCTGATCGCCGTAGCGGTCGTCGCGACCGGCGCCCCGGCCCCGGTCGTCGCGCGGGGCCTGCCGGCCGGCCCAGCTCGAAGAGGACGACCAGCATGCCCGGCGATCAGCCGCGTCGGCGCGCCATTGGGCTCGCGAAGACGCCGCTTCGTCCTGCCGCCGCTGGCTATTGTCGCGACGCCGCGGTGCAGCGGGCTCTCTCTCGGCCGCCGGGGCCGTCGGCGCATGGGGCGCGGGTGTCAGCCTCGAAGCGAGTTCGCCAGTCTGATCCCACTTGCTAGTCGGCCGCGGCTCGACCCTCTGCCACTGGGGTGCGCCAGGCGACGCGGGCCAGTCACCCTCGGGAGCTTTGCTGATCGCGCCAGGGCCGCGCTGCCGGAATGCCCGCAATGACGTACTTTGCTCGGGCCGCCACTCCATGGACTCCCGCGCCCGACGGCGCGCGGTGGAGGCCTGACCAGGTGGGTCATAACTGCTGCTGCGCTTCTGAGCATGAGATGCCTCGCCACCGCGCGCTCCGGCCCTCGCCTTCGCGCGTTTGTGCCCCTGCCTCGGCGGCGGCGCTTGCCCGTGACGCTTGTCTCCGTGAGAGGAGGGTGCAGCGCCTGCGGCAGGCTCAGTAGCGTGGTCAAATCCTTTTTCTTCTTATTCTTCTTCTTCGTCTTGATCACTCAGCTCAAGCGGCCCCAAATTGTCCTTGAAATGGCGCCAGGCCCAGTCTCTGAGGTACTCGATAATAGAAAGGTCATGTCCAATACCTTCCCCCAGTCGTCATGCCTCCCTGTCGTTCGACGGGTCGCGCGACTCCCCATCGAACGCTCTGAGGTCGTCCCGCAGGAAAGGCTCCAGATATCCGAAAAGCTGCCCGTCGGCTTGAACGCGGTAACTCAGGAACGGCCGCCGGACCTATACAGGGGCAACAGCCCCTGGTCCGACGGCTGGCGCCTCCGCGTGCTTCTAATTATTAACCCAGCGATGACCTGACATTCGAGCCTGTTTCTGAAACCATGCGTGGACCTCGGCTGGCGCGGTGCCCTCTGCCAGCGTGGGCCGCCATGCAAGCGCAGCCATGTGCTGGCACGTGAAAACTGTCTTGCCTTGGGGAGCCAACTTGTGCCAGTACTTGGCCAATTTTGGATATTCCCACGTCTGTTCAAATTTGACCCATTCTTTGTTTGTTTGTTTTTTGGTTGTTATCGGCTGTGCGACCCCGTGTAGATGTTGGGGGCCTCGTAATCGACGCGTGAACACGGCCCCCGGTCTCGGGGCCCATTCCCCTACCCATGAACTTCCTGAGGCCCAGCGCGCCCCGCGCAACTGCAGGACGAATCGCGCTCGGGGCCCCGAGCCTCGGTTCGCGCGGCGTCGGCTGCGAGCTGCGCAAGCAGCTGATCGCGCCCGAGCGATAGCGACGCGCCCCGCCGCAAAATAATATTCGAGGCGCGCGCCGCCCAGACATCAACTCCTCAGGCTACCAGCCCGTCAATGACCTCGGCGCGCCTGCGGTTCATGTCCGCGCCCCGCGGGGGCCGGGTCAGGCTCCGACATCGCCCTGGCCTTTCGCCAGTGCCCGCCGCCTGAGCGGTCGTCGCTCCTCCACCGCTGTTCGCCGGGCCGGTTGTCGCGACCGGCGCCCCGGCCCCGGTCGTCGCGCGGGGCCGGCCGGCCGGCCCAGCTCGAAGAGGGCGACCAGCACGCCCGGCGATCAGCCGCGTCGGCGCGCCATGGGGCTCGCGAAGACGCCGCTTCGTCCTGCCGCCGCTGGCTATTGTCGCGACGCCGCGGCGCAGTGGGCTCTCTCGCGGCCGCCGGGGCCGTCGGCGCAGGGGGCGCGGGTGTCAGCCTCGAAGCGAGTTCGCCAGTCTGATCCCACTTGCTAGCCGGCCGCGGCTCGACCCTCTGCCGTTGGGGCGCGCCAGGCGACGCGGGCCAGTCACCCTCGGGAGATCCGCTGATCGCGCCAGGGCCGCCCTGCCGCAACGCCCACAATGGCATGCTTCGCTCCGGCCGCCACTCCATGGACTCCCGTGCCCGACGGCGCACGGTGGAGGCCTGACCGGGTGGGTCATGGCTGCTGCTGCGCTTCTGAGCACCTCGCCTTCGCGCGTTTGCGCCCCTGCCTCGGCGGCGGCGCTTGCCCGTGACGTTTGTCTCCGTGAGAAGGGGATGCAGCGCCTGCGGCGGGCTCAGTAACGTGGTCAGACCCTCTTTCCTATTCTCCATCTTGCTCAGTAAGCTCAAGCGGCCCCAAATTGCCATTGAAATGGCGCCGGATCCAGTCTTTGAGGTACTCGAGAATAAAACATAATGTCCAATGCCTTCCCCCAATCGTCATGCCTCCCTGTCGTTCGACGGGTCGCGCGACTCCCCATCAAACGCTCTGAGGTTGTCCCGCAGGAAAGGCTCCAGATATCCGAAAAGCTGCCCGTCGGCTTGAACGCGGTAACTCAGGAACCTCTAAAAGTTTGCGATATCCGTTCGCTCTTCGGCGGGCTCGGCGGCGCGGCCGGCCGACAGCGCCCTTTGCCAAATGCTTTGGGTTATTCATTATTGCCCGCGGTGGGCGGAATCAGTTCCGGCGGAATGCATCCCGAGAGCTCGCGCAGCGTCGGCCTTGGGACGTGGCCCACATGCGCCGCGATGACACCGTCACCGGGTAGGCGCGCATCTTCCTGATCTTCTTCCATGCCCGCGTCGCGGCCTTCGATGGGAGGTTTCGCTTGACCCTTGCCCCCCCCCAATCAGCTTCAGAAGCAGAAAGCCCGGCGCCGACCTCTTGTCCCAGTGGTGCAGAGAATTCGCCATCTGGCCCCTCGGATACGCTGTCCGCTGGAAGGGCTGCGCCGCCTCTGCGAGGTGGGGGCGGTGCTTTCTCCGTGCAGCCCCTCTCGTAGGCTTTCCGCTCTTCTTCCATTATACGAACATCATTCTGAAATTATGCAACATTCGCCCAATGCAACTATTCTCTCTGCTGCGGAAAGCACATGTCTATGTGGACTGACGTCGCTTTGGGGCAGTTCGCACATGCCACCCGCCGGCGGCATGACTTGGCCTTTCTTCGCAATCGACGGCGACACAAAGAAGCAACCCAGTGTCGGATATATGTATACTTGAACGGTATGCGACATGCATGGCGTCACCGCATTCTCTACCCGGGCCGGTGCTCGCGCTCTGCAGCTCTGCAATGACCTTTTCATCGAATGACAACGGCTGAAACTTCGGCGCGTTCGGTCTCGGGCCCCTAACTCGGCTTTCCATCATCTCGAACACGGGGAACTCAGAATTCGCGCAGTAGCTGGGCTCGGAAACAACCATACCGAGGACCATTCCCGCCGGTCGCCTGCCGTCGATGCCTCATTGCAACAGAATATGTACTTGTTCATCGCGGGGATGCTGTCGCAGCAACTCCTGCTTGCGCTGTCGCATTTCCCCGAGCTTTTCCCGCCTGGGCCCAGCGGGGACATTGTGCCCGTCGCCCGCCTGCTCATTCTTTTTGTCTTCGTCCTCATCATTGGCGGCGGGAGAGAGCATGGCGGGGTCATCCTTCGACTTACGCAGAAACTCGCCAGCATTTCGATGCTCGAACAAGCTTTCCCGCGATCTCCGAGCCCGCCCCAGGTCGGGTTGAACCCGTTCATCGCGCAAGTCTGGAGGGTCAGAAAAGGCGCGAGACTCGCGAGCCGTTTGTAGAATGCATGAATTTCCGCGCTGGGGGCTCTGCGCATGGACGGCGGAACGACTCCGTATCCATCTCAGTTGCCCAGAATCTGACGCCGCTCCATCCAACGGTATCAACTAATTCTGTTTTGACGTAGTCAATGCGATGCTGAACCGTGCGAGTTCTGTCGCTCTTGGTTTGCGCTATCTGCGCTTGCTGGCGCAGGCTGCGCAACGAGGCGTCGAAGCGTGAGCTTTGCGCGTTGCTTTCTCAAGTCGGAAAAGGTGTGGTCTTGTCTCATACTCCTTCAATCTTGACGCGAGATC